GAAAAGCCTAGGAAAAGAATGGATTTGTTAGTTAAAAATAGGAGAGGAGAGTTATTAAATGGAAAGTTAGAGGTATCGGGAAGATGGAGAGCAGGATAGCAAATGAACAAGGAAGCTTTAGGAAAGGTGTGTAGACCAAGTGTTTGCAGTAAAAAAACAGGTGAACAGTAGATAAGGGTAAAGAGGTTTTTGTGGCATTTATGGATTTGGAAAAGGAGTATGACAGGGTGGATGAGGGGGCAATGTGGCAGATGTTGCAAATGTATGGAATAGGAGGTAGGTTGTTGACAGCAGTGAAAAGTTTTTACAAGGATAATAAGGCTCAGGTTAGAGTATGTAGGCATGAGGGGCATTATTTCCCAGTAAAAGTAGGCCTTAGACAGGAATGTGTGATGTCACCATGGTTGTTCAATATATTTATAGATGGAGTAGTAAGAGAAGTGAATGCTCGGATGTTGGCAAGAGGTGTGAGGTTAAAAGATAAAAAATCTAAAACAAAGTGGGAGTTATCACAGTTGCTCTTTGCTGATGACACTGTGCTTTTGGGAGATTCTGAAGAGAAGTTGCAGAGGTTGGTGGATGAGTCTGGTAGGGTATGCGAAAGAAGGAAATTAAAAGTGAACATGGGAAAGAGTAAGGTGATGAGGATAACAAAAAAATTAGGAAATGAAAGACTGGATATCAGATTGGAGGGAGAGAGTATGGAGGAGGTGAAGGTATTTAGATATTTGGGAGTGGATGTGTCAGCAGATGGGTCTATGAAAGATGAGGTGAATCACAGAATTTTTTTTTTTTTTTTTTTTTTCAACAAACCGGCCATATCCCACCAAGGCAGGGTGGCCCAAAAAGAAAAACGAAAGTTTCTCTTTTTAAATTTAGTAATTTATACGGGAGAAGGGGTTACTAGCCCCTTGCTCCTGGCATTTTAGTCGCCTCTTACAACACGCATGGCTTACGGAGGAAGAATTCTGTTCCACTTCCCCATGGAGATCACAGAATTGACAAGGGAAAAAAGGTGAGTGGTACACTGAGGTGTCTGTGGAGACAAAGAACATTACCCATCGAAGCAAAGAGGGGAATGTATGAGAGTATAGTTATACCAACGCTCTTATATGGGTGTGAAGCATGGGTGGTGAATGTTGCAACAAGGAGAAGGGTGGAGGAAGTGGAGATGTCATGTCTGAGGGGAATGTGTGGTGCGAATATAATGCAGAGAATCCATAGTTTGGAAATTAGGAGAAGGTGCAGAATTACCAAAACTATTATCCATAGGGATGAGGAGGGGTTGCTGAGGTGGTCCGGACAAGTAGAGAGGATGGAACAAAATAAAATGACTTTGAGAGTGTATAACAAGTGGCTAGTAACCCCTTTTCCTGTATACATATTACTAAATGTAAAAGGAGAAACTTTCATTTTTCCTTTAGGGCCACCCCACCTCAGTGGGATACAGCCGGTGTGTTGAAAGAAAAGAAAGAGAGTGTATAAATCTGTAGTGGAGGGAAGGCAGGGTAAGGGTCGGCCTAAGAAAGGTTGGAGGGAGGGGGTAAAAAAGGTTGTGTGTGTGAGGGGCTTGGACTTCCAACAAGCATGTGTGAGCATGTTAGATAGGAGTAAATGGAGAGAAATGGTTTTAGGACTTGACGTGCTGTTGGAGTGTAAGCAAGGTAACATTTATGAAGGGATTCAGGGAAACTGGCAGGCCAAACTTGAGTCCTGGAGATGGGAAGTATAGTGCCTGCACTCTGAAGGAGGGGTGTTAATGTTGCAGTTTTATAACTGTAGTGTAAGCACGCCTCTGGCAAGACAGTGATGGAGTGAATGATGATGAATGTTTTCTCTGTTCTGGGCCATCCTGCCTTGGTGGGAAGCATCTGATGTGTTAATAAAAAAAATTGTAGACTTAATATTTACACTCTTGTTGTCACAGTCTCCCACTGCTCATGTCTGGAACATATGCACAGTCACCCTCCTACTTTGCCTGCCTACCTTTCTCCCTCCCTCACTCCAACTGCTCCCTCCCTCCCATTCTCCCACTCACTTTTTACACACCCTCCACCGTCACTCCCCTTAAGACCTTTTTATCACCCTGTCTTGTCTCTGGGCTGATGCCCATCCACACGAGCCAACCACCGTATGAGTAATGTATCCAAAAATTATTATAACTCAAGACTATCATTACTCAAGGACCACTATATATTTTGTGTGAGTGATGGTGAAAGTGTTTCTTCTCTTTTGGGTCACCCTACCTCAGTGGGAGATGGCCAGTGTGTTAAAAAATAAATCTAGAAATAAATATAAATGCAGGAAAAATAACAGAGTACAGTAAAACAATGAAGAATTTCTCTTGAAGGCATTACCTGAGAATGAATACCTGAAAAATTTCTAACTTTAACAAAAGCAAAAGACTAGCTATCATATAAACCTGTCTTAATACATACTGGTACAGCAGTTGCAAAAGCCATGGGTACGGTAAATGATGCAAGGGCTGTGCGGCTGTATTGGACGGCTGGAGCAATAATAACAACTCCCAAAGTATGTAACAGGACAAAAGCTTCATCAATGCCACCAAGACCAACAACTGTGACCCAAAACAAAGCAGTGAGAAGAAGAAGTCTGTAAACTGAAGCACCCATATTTGTCACACAATACGCAACCACCTGTAAAAAATAAAATAAGAATTACAATCCTAGTGATATCTTGTACAAATTATCCTTATATGTGTACATATAGATTAAAATGTCATGTTTGAAAGCAATGTGCAGAGTGAATATATGCAAATGGTTTGGAGTGTAGAGAAATTAAAAGATGGTATAGAGGTGAAACGGTATACTTCAGAGGGCTAGTTTTGCTCAGGTGCTTGGACAATTAGAATGGATGGAGATCAATAATATTATGAGGAGGATTTTTTTTTTTTAACATGTCGGCTGTTTCCCACCAAGGCAGGGTGACCAAAAAGGTAAGAAAAAACTTTCAGCATCATTCAACACTTTCACCATCACTCATTCGTAATCACTGTCTTTGCAGAGGCACTTCGACACGACAGCTTAGACGTCCCTCCAAACTGCCAATATCCCAAACCCCTCCTTTAAAGTACAGTGGACCCCCGCTTAACGATTACCTCCCAATGCGACCAATTATGTAAGTGTATTTATGTAAGTGTGTTTGTACGTGTATGTTTGGGGGTCTGAAATGGACTAATCTACTTCACAATATTCCTTATGGGAACAAATTCGGTCAGTACTGGCACCTGAACATACTTCTGGAATGAAAAAATATCGTTAACCGGGGGTCCACTGTATAGGCATTGTACTTCCCATCTCCAGAACTCAAGTCCAGCTAACCAGTTTCCCTGAATCCCTTCACAAAATATTACCCTGCTTACACTCCAACAGCTCATCAGGTCGTTAGGTAAGACACATATGCAACAGTTAGGTATCTTTATTTCGAAATAAAGATACCTAACTGTTGCATATGTGTCTTACCTAACAACCTGTCGGTATTTTATACCATTTTAATGTTCAGCTCATCAGGTCCCAAAAACCATTCGTCTCCATTCACTCCTAACATGCTCACACACGCTTGCTGGATGTCCAAGCCCCTCACCCACAAAACCTCCTTTACCCTCTCCCTTCAACCTTTATGGGGCCGACCCCAACCCCGCCTTCCTTCCCCTACAGATTTATACACTCTCCAAGAGTATGAATCTAAAATGGAAGGAAGGAGGGGTGGGGATGATCACAGGAATGGTTGGAAGGAGAGGAATAAATGAGAGACAGCAGGCTTCTGTGGGTGTTTTAGATAAGAGGAAATGGAGAAAAATTATTTTTAATGGATATGCTGTTGGAATGTGAGCAAGGTAACATTCATGAAGGGACTCTGGGAAAATAGTTAGGTGGACTTGAGTCCTGGAAGTGAGAAAGACAGTGTCTGCACACTGACAGAGAGGTAGGATGTTGCAGTCCAAGGGCAATCTGAATCTTTTATGCTTATAGCCTTGATGTTATCTTCTACCTCATCACACATCCTCCTCCAGTACTAGCAAGTGTTGATTGAGATTGTTTACATCTTACAGCTTCTCGCTAACTAAAATGATGCCATATCTTCTAGACTTTGGGAAGGACAGGGGTTCATATTCTGAGGGAATAACAAGAAAAATTTTACAATCCTGTTAATGATCTCTTACTAGGAGCAGCATCAAATTTATTTACAAAAACTACTGCATTAATTCCTTCATCTTGTAAATGCACCCCGACCACTGATGTTTCACAATATTATTGATAATAAATGATCTCTTAACCCTTTGACTGTTTCGGTCCTATACATACGTCTTACGAGCCAATGTGTTTGACGTATATATACTCAAAAATTCTAGCGTCTTCAAATCAAGCAGGAGAAAGCTGGTAGGTCCACATGTGAGAGAATGGGTCTGTGTGGTCAGTGTGCGCAGTATAAGAAAAATCCTGCAGCATGCAGTACATGAGAAAAAAAAAACTCCGACCATGTTCTTGGATTAAAACGCTGACTTTGAGGTGTATTTTCATATAGTATTTATGGTTGTATTCTTGTTTCCTTGATCTCATTTGATAGAATGGAAAACATGTATAGAAATAGAAGTGATTTTGATTGGTTTACTAAGAAAAGGATCTTGAAATGGAGCTCAAAGTGGCAGAAATGTTGGATTTTTGCCGATGTTCAATAGTAAACAAATGACGTCATTGTCCAATAAATGTCCAACTAGCCATTCTAATACGCAGTCATGAATGGATTGACATTATTTACACAATTATTACAATATTACAGTAGTCTGCATAACAGTAAATCTTCTATTTTTTGTGTGAATAAAAATTCAAAATAGAAAGCAAGAGTATTGCAACAGGGGCCTGGAGACGTGACTGATGAACAGAGAAAATGTTATTTTAGTGCCAGGAATGTCTGCATTGTTCATTCTGATTTATTTTTTAATTTGCATGAAATTGGTCAAATTGCCAATTTCTGACCACTTTATTGACTAGTTGAAATCTGTAAATGGGCAGTTTCTTGTACTCAGTCGATAGAACAAATGGAGTTCTAAAGAAATAGCTTTAAGTTTGGTCGACTGGAACAAGGTAATTGGCTGAAAATAGGGCTCAAAGTGGACAAAATCGCTGATGCGTAAATGTCGCCGAGGTCGCTAACTTCGCGAGAGCATAATTCCTTAAGTTTTCCATCAAATTTCATACTTTTGGTGTTATCATCGGGAAAAGATTCTCTATCATTTCACAAGAATTTTTTTTTTTTTCAAATATTTTGCGACACCAGGAGACACTTCAGGATTTGGGGTTGCAACAGTCAAAGGGTTAATCTATAAAAAGGCCCAGTAGACATTCATTACTTTAAAATAGTGCATAGCTTGTGGACTGAAACCAAACTGACATGGGTGCAGTACATTGTGCTTTATAATGTTGGAGTTATTTTTGTTTGTATGCTATTGTCTCAAATAATTTTGTTGTATTGGTAAATCTGAAAACTTGTCTGTAGTGGTTTATATCAATGGTATCCTCACCTTTGTGAACTGGTGTAACCCTAGCTTGTTTGTGCAGGCCTGAGACAGTCTGAGTTTCAAGAAATTAGTTAAAGTGTTGCAATGACTGGCAAGAGCATATGCACAGCTTTTTAACCCTTTGACTGTCGAAGGGCCCAATCCTGAAGTGTCTCCTGGTGTCGCAAAATATTCGAAAAAAAAAAAAATTATTTTTTCTTATGAAAATGTTAAGATTATTTTTCTGATTGTTTTAGTCCCAAAAAAAAAATTTTCCCATCAGTACTTACCGAGATATAGAGTCCTGAAGTTTGCTGAAATTGATCTGCTGGCGGCAACAGCGGCGACTGCCGCTCACCCGGTAAACTTTTATTTACTTGTATTCGAGGGTTTTTCTTGTTTTTTTTACACTATTTTAATTTTTTCACATAACTTTTGTGGCCTGTGAGACCAAATTATTGAGAAAAGTTCAAATATACAACTCGTTGAATGTAACACAATTAAAGCAAAAACACTCGTATCATTATAAGTTGCTAAAACTTTTTTTACACAAACAATGAAACAAATGTTTATTACAATTGTTTTATAATATATATACATATGTACAATCACTGGACACTTTATTAGAAGTGCTGCAGCTTGTGGAATTCTTTGAAACATGGGTATAACACAATGGTGTCTTACACTCCTCACACATAAAACGAGTGTCCTCTTCTCTGCGTTTATGTGGCGTTTTGTGGTATGTCCACAGACAAAACCCCTCTTTCTGAGCTTTTTTCCCTTGGCAGTAGTAGCAGCAGTGGTATGGGGTAGTGATCACCAGGCCTCAGACGAGAGGACATGTGTTGATAATTTCGTGGGTGCTGGTCTATTGCAGGTGTTGTTTCTTGGAAACTTGAATATTATTTGTCTGATGACGACAAACAAAATTCACCATATTTGGTTTGTTCTTGGTCTTCAACTTATACATATTATAAGCATTCAGCATGGAAATTTTCAAGAAAATGGAAAAACAGTTTTATGTACCACTATAACTCTTGCGAACACAGTCAGCAAACCCAATCTGCATGTCACATTTGTCCACAAAAGCGCATATTGAGTGTTGTAATCCATCACAGCTGCAGGTTTTACAATAGGTTCATTGGTCTCTCTATTCTGCTTGCCAGTCTCTACCATTTCGTGTCGGTGAACTGATGTCAGCAGTGTGACATCACGTTTGTCATGCCACCGAAATGCCATGATTCATTGGCAGCAAACACCTGCACTTCACCTCTACGAGTGCCAGCTTCGAACCTAGGCATAGTTTACGATTTCTACGCACTGTGCCACACACATCTGTCATGTTCACTCGCAAGAAATCACTGAGTATAGGGCTTGTGTACCAGTTCAGTAAAATAAAAATGCCCCTTACCAAGAAAATGGCTCCATCATTGTTCTAACCACATCACCAGAGATACCCAGTAACTTCCTGGAAATCTTCCATTGTTTTAAAAACCGCCAGTGTACACAATTATATCCAAAACCAGACCAGTTTTGCAATCACACAGAACAAATAACTTTATACCCAAAGCATTCCTCTTGCTTGGTATATACTGCTTAATGAGAGTCTTCCTTTGAACAAAATCAAAGACTCGTCAATAACAAGCTTCCTAAAGGGGATAAAAATACATACAGCACTTTTGTTTCAGGTACATAAACACACGTACTGATCTTATATAACCTGTCCTTCTGTCAGGCCTTTGTTTTGCCCTGAAAAGTGTAACATACGTAACAGTAACACAAATCTATTCACTGGTAAAATGTCACTGGAAAGCAGGGGTTGAAATCAGGCGGTCTGTCGCCCAGAATGTGTGACACTATGCTTATACACATGTGCATAAGCATTATTTTTGGCAAAGAACAGATACATCTCTGCCACAGTTGTGTCCTTCCACTGGTGTAGGCGTGATCTTGGTGAAAGCATAGTGTTTGCCATGGTGTACTCATAGTATGTATTGCTTTCCCTGACAATAATGTCCATCAGGGGTTCATCGAAGAACAACTGAAAGCATTCCAGTTCAGTGGGATTGTTCCCAAGTGTACATGATGGCCGTATTCCACTTTGTCCTCCATCAAAGTCATGGGGATTCGGAACAAACTCGTCATCTTGATGCCAATCCCAGATGCGGTCAGCTGGTGCGTTCTGGATATTGTAATGTCATTGTGGTTAAGATAAGATAAGATAAGATTTCGTTCGGACTTTTAACCCCAGAGGGTTAGCCACCCAGGATAACCCAAGAAAGTCAGTGCGTCATCGAGGACTGTCTAACTTATTTCCATTGGGGTCCTTAATCTTGTCCCCCAGGATGCGACCCACACTAGTCGACTAACACCCAGGTACCTATTTGCTGCTAGGTGAACAGGACAACAGGTGTAAGGAAACGTGTCGAAATGTTTCCACCTGCCGGGAATCGAACCCGGGCCCTCCGTGTGTGAAGCGGGAGCTTTAGCCACCAGGCCACCGGGCCTGGTTGTGGTTGTGAGAGTGTGGGGTCGGCCGAAGCGGGTTGTAGTTGTGCAGAGTCAGCAGCGCGGGCACTAGCGTGGCCCGCTGCTGGTGTCACATGACTCATGGCACCGTCACTATCACCACCACCGCCTGCTGCCTCACTCACATCATTTATACCCATCGTAACAATATCGTCATCTTCACTATCAGGACGTGGTGTAGGGCCACGGGATGTGCTTTCCCAGATGTACTCCTTCCTCTTGGAAGAGCATATGGCACACTACCAACCGCAAAGCGACGTCGTATATACTGCCGTTTTTACTGGGAAATTCACCCCCACTGTCACAACTAGAAGTGCTTTCAATAACCTTAAATCACTATCACTATCACTTGCACTGCTCACATCTGAGTCTTGTAAAACGGGCAAATTTGTTTTCCTCTTTCGGGCCTGGTACAGGTGAATATGAACGAGCCGGCCCAGCCCCCAAGTGGGTGGTTGTGGGTCATCTGGGTTTTCATCACTAATTATGTTATCCTGGGTAATTTTCTCGGTCACAACCCCTTCAAAACCAGGGAATTTCACTTTCACTGACACTATCATCACTGTATTGAGCTATCACTTGGGAACAAAAGACCTCCAATCCGCCGAGGAGTGAGGAACTTCTTACCGCGAGGCATGGTGAAAATGGACTACCAAGATGGCGTTCCCACAATGCACCGCTGAGTCCCAGATTTTTTTCACAGGGTACACACCGACCACTGAGACCCATTCTCTCTCGTGTAGGCCTACCAGCCCTCTCCCGCTTGATTTGAAGCCGCTAGAATTTATGCGTATAGATACGTCAAACACGGTATCTCCCATGACGTACATATACGACCGTGACAGTCAAAGGGTTAAAGTTAAAAGCATTATGTAATGTAAAATTACAGTACTTAAAGGGCACTTTAAATGAATACACATTTGTTTACCTTTCTAAAATTATTTTATTTGTGACATGATTAGATCTATATGAAGTAAAATATAACATAATGGCTGTGAGATCAACTTACTTCATTGTCACAAGCATGGTAGAATATTGATGCTATCATGGTAGCTGTGAATAAAAGAGCTTGTGAGTACAAGTGTCTGCGTGCAGCTATAATAGTAGGAGGCAAGAAGAATATGTTGCTAAGGGTAAGCAAACACAGTCCAGTGATGACAGTGTCCCAGCCCTGAGCAGCTTCTCCATCTTCACAACCCCCCATCCTTGCCAACCACTGAACAAACCTGCAAACCAAGAATACTTATTAAACAAAGTAACAATAAAAAATAAAAGGCATTTTTGATATTTTGTAGTAAATCTATTAGAGAAGCGAAAGTAAAAGAAAAGATTACGACGAAAGTATTTTTCTTCTTAAATTAGTACATAGGATCACTTAAATGCACTTAGTTATCTAATCATGATCAAATGGAAAGCAAAAATGTTTTTAAAGACTCACCACCATAGGAAAAACTTAAAGATACAGTAAAAGTCTGATAAAACAAACCCCATCAAGTGGATGTCAGATAAAACAACAAAAACATGGGGGGACAAAGGCCCAACATTACATTTAATGGAATGTCTGATAAAAAAAAGCCATGAATGAAGCAAATCTACAATATTGAATGGTTGTCTAATTTGGCCATCCACTCAAAAAAATGAACTAATTCCGCTTAATCACAAGTTTATTCTGTCCAGGATTTGTCCAGGACTTATCCATTTTCATTGTGGTAGTAGACAAGCCTCTTGTATTCAACTGGAAATTATGTTGCCAGTGAAAAAATAATTATCTACAAGAAGTGCAGACAGGGCAGGGCAGAATTTCAATATCTGGTCCCTTTCTTTCTTTTTATGCTAGAATCCTCATTACCTATAATCATAATCAAACCTGTAATTCTTTAAACAATTAAAACTGATAGAAGCCAATAAGCATGTACTAATAGGATACAAAGACTTCCTTACATATGAATATTTATACGTACTGTGAACTTTCGGTAATACAAACAATTTGCCCAGGCCAACACCTTCTCAATGTTTTATTAAATTTATATTACAGCCTCTCTTCACTTAGCAATGTGCTCGTTTACTGATGACTAGGACTTATGACGGGCTCTCTGTCCAGTATGCATACCTAAATAATGTATATTAGAGCTGATTTTCTCTATTCTGTTTATTAAAATATACAGTACACCACTGTATAAACATTCAAAAATATACTAAAAATTTTATAAATGGTACAAAGGTGACATTAAAACAATATCAAAGATGGGTGACACACCCACCACCATTATAGCATGCTCCTCACTCAGCGACGAATTCGTTTACCAATGTGGTCTTAGGAATGAAACTCCATTGTTAAGTGAGGAGAGGCTGTATTTACAAATTCTGTTATTTTTTTTGTTAACACATCAGCTGTTTCCCAACAAGGTAGGGTGGCCCAAAAAAGAAAAACTTTCACCATCGTTCACTCCATCACTGTCTTGCCAGAGGCAGGCTTACACTACAATTACAAAACTGTAACATTAACACCCCTCTTTCAGAGAGGAGGCACTGTACTTCCCATCTCCAGGACTCAAGTCTGGCCTGCCGGTTTCCCTGAATCCCTTCATAAATGTTACTTTGCTCACACTCCAACAGCACGTCAAGTATTAAAAACCATTTGTCTCCATTCACTATCAAATATGCTCACGCATGCTTGCTGGAGGTCCAAGCCCCTCGCACACAAAACCTCCTTTACCCCCTCCAACCTTTCCTAGGCCGACTCCTACCCCGCCTTCCCTTCACTACAGATTTATACACTCTCAAAGTCATTCTATTTTGTTCCATCCTCTCTGCATGTCCGAACCACCTCAACAACCTCTCCTCATCCCATTTTGATAATAATTTTGGTAATCCCACACCTCCTCCTAATTTCCAAATTAAAAAATTCTCTGCATTATATTCCCCACCACTTTTTCCATCAGACTTTAAAAATTACTGCCCCCCGGCCTTCCCCCTTGTTGTAACTTTTCCCACTCATGCTTCCCCAACCTATATAAGAGCAATAGTATAACTATTTACATCATTTCCCCTCTTTGTTTTCCCATGGACAAATTTCTTTGGTCCCATGTTATAATTTTTTAAAACCAAATTTTGTTATAAACATTAAAAAGTTTTAATTTCTTTATAAACAGGGTTTTTTTTTTTTTTTTATTTTTTTTCCCTTTGTGTTAAAAAGTCGGTACCTGACCACCCGGGGGCTGGGGCCCCGTAGGTTGGTTTGGTGCAGCCAGCGAAACAGCCTTTTTTGGTCGGGTTTTTCCCTTTAAATCCCCCAGGGGGGCCCCTGGCCCACAGACTGGCCACGGGGGCATTGCCCCCCGGAACTCTCTCCAGGAAAAACATTATCCGTAACATACATATTTGGACAACGAACAAATGGATTTCCCAAAACCCCACTAAAAACCCAAACCCTTTGTTCGAAGTGAGTGAGGGACTAAATTCTCTTGCCTTCACTGTAACCCAAAAATTTATATTTATAATCATCCTAAGAGATTTTATTTAAATCACCTAAGAGACTGTATAAATAAAATCCAAAATTTGTCTTTGGGTTATTTATTTTAAATTTAAACCCCAAAATCTCTGCATATTAAGGGGCTAACTGCTTTCACACCAAAATGCCTTTTCACCTTGTACAAACACAAATCATGCTAAAGTATCTTTTTACACACAAACAGTTAAATAAAACCAATCCCCATACATTTTGTCACAGCTTTTGCTTTGACAACCCTCAGACCTTTTTTTTTCCCAAATTCTACCTTATTTGGGTTATCTATAGGGACGGGTGTTTACATTTGGGCACCCCCAACAAAATTTGCATCTTTCGGGAGAACCCTTATAGCAAAAAAAACAAAAAAATTCAAGGGGTAAAAAACCCAAAAAACCTGCTTTTGTAAACAACATAAGAGAGAGCGGGGCTAACAAATGCTATCTGAAACCCCCCTTGAAATTTTGCCCCAACCAAAGGAGGTGCTGGTACATTCACTGCGGGGAAAAAATCAGTGTTGTCCCTGTAGTATGAGTAAATTTATTTATATACTGGAAATTTAAAAAACTTTTGAAAAGTGGGGGCATGTGTTGCTATTCTAGCTGTGTGTTAATTTGCACAGCTATTTTTTGTTGAGTTATTATGGGTTTCCAAGTTTTTTTGCAATTTATCTCTGGGCACAAATCCCCATAGGTAAGGAAAGGTTTAGATTAGAGATAGAAACAACAAAGTAGTGCTTTTTTGAGATTACAGAAACAGAACCCAAGTCTTTGAGAGGATCCAAAATTATTTGGAGACCTCCTTTATTATGTTTTGGTTTAAATCACTAAATTTCAATTTGTTTGTCAGGGTACAAACTTTATTTTTTTCCCTTGTTTTGTCTCTCTCTCTCTTATTTTTTTTTTTTTTTTTTTTTTTGGATTAAAAGGGAGCCTCTCGGGTTTTTACTGGGGGGCCATCATGTTTTCCCTTCAATCACTTTCAACACCCCCCTTCAGATGGCTGAGGTAAAATTAAACTTTCGGGGCCCTTTGTTTAAGAATTTTTTAATCCTCCCCTGTGCCCCTAGAGCAAGGGGAAATGAAAAATGTTAGAAGGGCTGTTTTGCTTCCCAATAAGAGCGGGACATCCAAGTTTATCTTAATTTATCTTAAAGGGGTTTTGGGTCTTTTTTTTTAAAACCATTTCAGGGTCAGAAAAAACTGATTTGAAATTTGGGTTTAACCCCATGTCGGAAAATTTAAAAAAAAAAAAGTTTATTTTTTTCTTATGAAATGAGAGAGTTTCCTTTTTTTGAGGGTATTAAAACCCAAAAAGTAGAAATTTAGGGAAAAAACTTTTGGAATTAAAACCCCTCACAAATTTCCCCCGGCTCTCCCTTTTTATGCACGGGTGATTTTGCTTTAACTGAGCCTTATTTTCACCAAATTTCCATCTTTCCCAGTTGCCCAAACCCCGTACTATTTTGTTAGAAAATTCCTTCAAACCCTAAGGGGACGAGTACAACAAATTTGGCCCATTTACTTTTTTTCAAATAAAAAAAAAAAGTGATAGAAATTAAAAATTTTTAAAAAATTTTCACAAAAAAATTAAAAAAATTGAATTTCCCCAAAAAAGGGCCCAAAAAAGGAAAATGTAGACTTTTCCTGGTACCCAAAACTTTGTGAATCCCATTTTAGACTGACCATTAAACATTTTGGGAAAGTGATGTAATTTGTGAAAACGGGAAACGGCAAAACAAAAAATATGCTATTTTGAGCTCAATTTCAAGTGTTTTTCCCGCCCAAAAAACCGATGAAAACCCAAGGGGTTTACTTCTGAAAATATATCTTCCATTCAATCAAATAAGCCCAAAAGAAACCGGGGAATAACCAAAAAAAAACCACAAAAAAATGCACCAAAAAGTTGCTGTTTTAAAAGAAAAAATCATGGTCGTTTTTTTTTCCCCAGAAACATTGCTTGCTGCAGGATTTTTTTTTGGGGGTCCCACATTTCCCTGCACAAAACCCCTTTTTCTCTTACCCTAGGCCCAAATTACTGCTCACAGTTTATCTGGGGCTTTTTTTCATCCCCTGAAAAATGGGACCCCCCTGTACTTCAATGCCAAGTAAAAGGGGACCCACCCCAAAAGGGTTAAGACCCAAAAAAATTTTTTACCCTGTGATGAGGAAAGAAATTTAAATTACACACTGGGTTGGCTTTGGAGTTTGTTTTTCCAAAACCGGGCTTGATTATAACATGGAAGGGGAAAGGGAAAAAGGGATTATTTTAAGCGTAAATTTTGTTTAAACGAAAGGGTTTTCTAAAAAAGCCTCTGCCCAAAAGTTGATAAATAAACTAAAAAAACCATACTTGATAAATACACGTTACTTACCTTTCAAAAACTGTACCACATACTGTATGCAACTGATGACTGTGTGTCCAATGTACAATTTTGCACATTTTTGGTACCTTCAAAATCTTCCATCCCCAATATTTTTGACCTCATCAAAAACCCTTTTTGAGTCTTCTATAATCTCTTTATATCTTAGAGAAAAAAAACAAAGGGGCCCGCAGGGGGCCACACAGGGATATGGGTTAAATTTCTGGGGGATCCCATGACCAATTGGGGTAGTATGCCTAACTAGAAAAAGTAAACCCAAAGAATCAAGTGCTGTTTTTTTCACCACCCGCTTTCCCCCCCAGCAAAAAATGGGGTAGTGACTTTAAGATGAATAAAATTTTTTCCAAATTTATTAAAATTTTAAGGGTACAACAAAGGAATTCAACCACCAAGACACCCCATATTTTAAATCAGGTAAAAAAAAATAAATAAACAATGGGGATATATTTCCATGTTTTGAAAGGGGTTTCTGCAAACCCTAAAGCAATTGAAAAATTTAATAAATCCTTTTAAATGTAGTTAAAAACCAAAGTAGTCAAAAAAAGAAAAAAAAAACAATTATTTTATCAATATATATACGTAAACCAAAGAGAAGCAATGTCCCCAAATTTAAACATTTTCCCAAGTCTGGAAAAGCTAAAAAAATTTTTTAAACAAATCAAATAAAAGTGGTACCCACTTAAAGGTTTACCCTTGTTCCATGACCGGCTCATAATCAATTTTTCTTGTTTCAGTGGTCCCTCGCTTTTTTGAGTTCTTGGGGAAACATAATTTCGGGGAAATTTATAAGGGGTATTTTCGTATAAAAAATGGGCTTTTTCGTTTTAAGTTGACTGTGGAGTTAATTCGTTCCCGGGAAAGCGTCCAACGGGTTTTTAGCCGGGGGGCAGCCCGTCCCGGTATTGTTTACCATAAGCGAAGGTCCCCTCACTTTCTCCAGCGAAATTTTTAAAAATTCCATTTTTTTTTAGTGGGTTTCAAGTACCCAAATAAGTAAACCCGGCTCCAAAGAAAGGCCCTAGGTTCCCCGGGGCCTTTGGGGAAAGAAAGGGGAGAAATACGACTGAATTTAAGAAAAAAAATCATTGGGAAAAATATGAAAGTGGGGACAAGTGCGGGCCCAAAATGGCCAGGGTGGGAAAAGGAAAACCCCACACAACCATTGTTCCATAGTGGGCCCAAAAAAAGGAAATCAAGGATGCTGTTGTTTTAAAGGGGGGAAAATATGCGACAAAATGAGATTACCCGGGACCGAAAAGGTTGAGAAGTTTTATTGGGGTGGTAAAGAAAACAATTAGCAGGGAAACTCTTTTTGACTTCGATTTTGTGAAAAAGGGAAAGGGAGTTTGCACAACGATCTGGTAAAAAAATTGCCCGAAAATAGTGGTGATGTGGTGATTTTAAAAAAACCGCAAAGGTTTTGGGTTTTAGAGATTTTAAAAACGTACTTGGGATACCAGTGTGGTTTTAAAGGGTGGGTTTAGGCTTTCCGTTCGGACTAAAAAGGCGGCGAAAAATATGTGCAAAGAATTCAAGGAGTAAATAGAGGCTGAAGGGCTGGAAAAACCCGAACAAGTGGTTTAATTGTGATGAAACAGCCTCTTTCGGGAAAAAAAAAATTTCCAAAAAGGACCTTCCTTACACAGGAGGAAAAGGGCAATGCCGGGAAAAGCCATGAAAAACCGGGGGGACGCTAAAGTTTTTGCTAATGCCCGTGGGGATTTTCCCAAATTTTAAGCCCTCCCCAGTGTAGCATTCTGAAAAAACCCAGAGTTTTCAGGAAAAACAAAAATTTTTTTTATAAAAGTACTTGTTTGTTTTGGGAAAAATTTAAAAGTTTAAA